TGTGCCACTTGAGCTACAGCTCCTCTTCCAACTGTTTTTCTTTCTTCCTTTTTTTTTTGCCAGTCGTGGGGTCTGAACTCTAGGCCTGGGCACTGCCCCTCAGCTCTTCAGCTCAAGGCTAACAGCACCCTACCACTTGAGCCACAGCGCCACTTCCAGCTTTTTTCTGCTTATGTGGTGCTGAGGAATCGAACCCAGGGCCTCATGCATGCAAGGCAAACACTCTTCCACTGAGCCACCTTCCTAGCCCTCTTTTCTTTTTTCTTTTTTTGTCCTGGGTTTTGAACTCTGGGCCTGGGCACTGTCCCCCAGCTCTTCATCTCAAGGATATTGCTCTACCACTGGAGCCACAGCACCACTTCCGGTTTTCTGGTGGTTTATTGGAGATAAGAGTAACCAAACTGGCACTGGTGGCTCACACCTGTAATCCTAGCTACTCAGGAGGCTGAAATCTGAGGATTGCAGTTCAAAGCCAGCCTGGGCAGCTTCTGGCTAGGATTGAGGTTTGAAGCCAGCTGGGGCAGACAAATCCAAGAGAATCTATCTACATGTAAGGCCCCCCCCCAAAAAAAATCCACAAAGCTGTATGTGGATCTATAACTCAAGTGATAGAGCCCTAGCCTCAAGCAAAAAAACTCAGGGACAGTGCCCAGGCCTTGAATTGAAGCCCCCTGACTGGTACATGTGTGCTTCCCCCTCCGGGCCCCCCTTGAACTTTCCTGTCCTAGGCTGGCTTCATAGGGGTAATCTCAGATCTCAGCCTCTTTTCTGAATAGTTAGGATTGCAGGTTCCTACCTGCAATCACCAGCTTACATTCCAGGTCGTTAGGTCCTATGTTTGAAGATTCGCAATCTTTTGTACTGGGTCTCTGGTATGAATGGGAAAGGCTTACTAGTAGGGATCAAGTCCCAGCATTAAGCATAACAGATTTCCCAAGCAAGATTTGACCTAAGTCATTACCAAACTGAAAGCTTATAAAAGACCTCTTCAGTTAAGCTGCCAGTAATTGAACACAGGCTCTACCTCGCTGTCAACCTGTATTTTATGGTAGGTTACTAGAAGTAAGCCTCTCTTTGTTCAGGAGGATGAGGTGAGCTCCGCAGGTGTGGTGACCCATCGGACTGAAGGGAGTGGCGTCTCTGCAGATCAGCTTAGAGCTGTGTAGTCAGCCCTGAGCTCACCTACCCTCTGCACCTTCTCCTCGCCCTTCCTCAGAGTGTGAGGTCATCTGCTGTGTAGACTTTTTGTTGCTTTGTAATTAGCAGGTACTTACTGGGTGATTTTCCTCCCGTCTCCCCATTCCTTTCTGTCCTTCGCTTCTCTTTCCTGTATTGGAGATTGGACTCAGGAGTAAATTGGAATGTTGCTTTTCCAAAAGAAAAGGCGTTTACTTCATTTCTTGAGTAAGCCAAGTTAATTGTCTTTCCAAAGGTCCACTGCTAAGAGTTCTTCATCTGATGGGCTTGGTGAGGACCCCGCTTCACCACTGTCTACTGAAGACTCCATGCTCTCAGCATGCATCACGGGCTCTTGTAGGACCAGCTTACCTTTGAGCTGGGTCAGGTGGTTGGGCAGAATGGGAGAAGTTCCCCAGTGAGGCGTATGCTACCAGCCCCGTCTGTCATGGTGGTTCACACGTTTGTGTGTTGACACCTGTAGTTAAGGAAAGAGCCATGGTAGAGCTGAAACTAGAAGAATGGATATGCTTAACATATTGTAGGCAGGAGTGTGTGTGTGTGTGTGTGTGTGTGTGTGTGTGTTAGGGTAGTGAGGTTGGTGAGGGTGAGCTCACTACCTGTAGTCAAGCAGCTTGGAAGCCTTCCTAGGGGAAGGCCAGCAGGTCTCCGCACCGGAGCATTAAGAGTTAAGTTTTGGGATGCTTGCTAGCTATCTGCATAGTCCTGTCCTCTGTTTATGTCTGAGCCCAAAGGATGGACTTCCCATGTGGGACTGGGGTTTACTCTCTTTTAGTCTTTTTCTTTTTTGGTACTGGGATCATACCCAGGACCTTGGACTTGATAAGCAAGTGCTTTGCCACTGAGCTACTCAAGTGGAGGAGGTTAAAATGGTGAGGTTAGGCTGGCACTGGGCAGGGGCGGGGGAGGGGCCATGGAGGCCAAGTCAGGTGGGAGAAGTGTGAACAGTTGACTTGTCTAGGGGCAAAGGGTTTGACGCTCTAGTTTGTCCATTCGCCATTGTTTTCTTTGTGAGATAAACTTCCTTTAGTAAGACAGTGCCAGCTTTCACATGGTGCCCAAGTGCCAGGCCCTGTCAGGCGGTGGTGTGTGTCCGTCCACTGCCCTGGGGAGTCTCGTGGCGGAGCTTGTGCAGGGTCCTAGCGGCTGAGGCACCTGCTCCCACTGCCTGCCAGGCCCCTTCCTCCTGGCTCTGTGTCCCTCGGTGTCATCGTGCTGCCATGCTACCACCCACGCTCATAGACACACCTTAGAATGCAAGTGCAGAACATTGGCTTTGCATTGGAAGCGCAGGAGTCTCCGTGGTGGTGTCATTGGGCAGATGCTGACTGGTCTCCTGTGGGTGGCTCAGAGGTGGTGGTTGAGGTGGAGTATGGCCCTGAGATTTCCGCCTTTGTTCTGTGAGAGCTTGTGCAGTCTCAGTTGGGCAGTGTAGTTGGCTGGTCTCAGAGCCCTTGCCACTAGTGTCCTGCTGAAGTAGATCTGAAGGGCTGCTGTCCTGTGTCTCCAGGAGATAGGGCCCTTTCCTGCTGTTGCTTGGATGCTTTTGATGGGTCAGCCACTGATGTAGTCGGGGTTTTGGTTCCTGGAAGATAAGGGCTGTGTTCTTGAGCAGTGCGGGAATGGACCGCTGCCTCTCTGCAGCCTGTCTGGCATTGGTTCCTGTTCTAACTGGTCTGACTGGTGTGCTTTGAATCCTGAGGTACTGTGTCATTTTAACTGCCAGGGAGGGAGCCTTGGTTAGTTGCACGCTCATTTGCTTATGTGTAACTTGCTTATTATCATTAAGTAGTTGTACAAAGGGGTTACAATTCCATAATTAATTTTTTTCTTAGTATTTTATGTGGACATTTCAAAGTTCTTGGAGGTGTTGGAAGGGGGAGGCTCAGTGGAAGAGCCTGTGTAGCAAGCATTTAGGCCAAGTTCCAGACCCACTACCACCAGAATACGAAGCTTTGTGGCTGGAGATGGAGCTGGGTTCCCTCCCTCAGTGCTGCGCAGGTTCTCCCCGTGTGACGTGTGCACAGCGTAAAGCGGAGTGCCGTTAGCTGGCATTGAACGCATTCTCATGCCGCTTGATCCATCTTGAGAACATTCGAATCTTTCCAAGTGAAACCTTTGTTGTTGTTGTTGGCCAAGGGGCTTGAACTCTGGCCTGGGCCCTGTCCCTGAGCACTTCAGCTCAAGGCTAGCGCTCTACCACTTGAGCCACAGCCCTACTTACAGTTTTCTGGTGGTTTATTGGAGAGAAGAGTCTCATGGACTTTACTGCCCAGGCTAGCTTTGAACTGTGATCCTCAGATCTCAGCCTCCTGAGTAGCTAGGATTACAGGTGTGAGCCTCCAGCGCCTGGCTTCCTAATGCTTTGTGTAGAGAGAAACCTTTCCTTGGGTTTCAGTTAGCTAGCTTTAGGCCCAGTGCCCCTCTCTCTCTAGACCCTTCCTAGACTGGCGCCCACCTCGCAGAAAAAACCTCCCATTCCCCACTTCTGCAGCTGTACCCCAGGAAGCCTCTCCAGAGCCATTGTCCCACATTGCGTGGAGGTAGAGTAGGGGCGGGCCTACAGAGAGAGGTCCCGTCGGTTAGTTTGGGGAAGAAGGCGATGTGAATTGGGGACTTTGCTTGGCTTTGCTTCACCTCCCGTGCCATTTTTTCCCAGGTCTTTTTTTTTTTTTTTTGGGTCCGGTTGTGGGGCCTGAACTCTGGGCCTGGGCGCTGTCCCTCAGCTCTTCAGCTCAAGGCTAGCGCTCTACCACTTGAGCCACAGCGCCACTTCCGGCTTTTTTCAGCTTTTTTTTCCTGCTTATGTGGTGCTGAGGAATCGAACCCAGGGCCTCAGGCATGCAAGGCAAGCGCTCTACCACTGAGCCATCTTCCCAGCCCCTCCCAGGTCTTTTAGCGTCCACTCTTCCCACCTTACTCTTTTAGTGCCTCTCACCCTCTTGTGAGTTGGTTTATCTGAAAAGGAAATGGAGACACTGGTCTCAGGAGTTGAGATCCTGTTGGCCCAGTCTTCCTGCTCATGGACTCTTATCCCTTGTGTCCCATAGACTCCCCAGCTGCTATCTGAGCCCTTGGGTGGAGGTTTAGACAGAGGTTGCCATTTTCCTCAGGACAGGTCTTCAGTAAACTTGTTCTATCTTTGTGTGTGTGTGTGTGTGTGTGTGTGTGTGTGTGTGTGTTGGTCTTGGCTCCCTGAGTTGTGTGTGTGTGTTGGTCTTGAGACTCCCTGAGCTTATTGTGTGTGTGTGTGTGTTGGTCTTGAGGCTCCCTGAGCTTTTTTTGCTCCACTGTTCTACCACTTGAGCCTTCATCAGTGCCACTGCTCCCCGTGTGTGTGTGTGTGTGTGTGTGTGTGTGTGTGTGTGTGTGTGTGTGTGTGTGTGTCGGTTGTGGGGCCTGAACTCTGGGCCTGGGCGCCGATCCTCAGCTCTTCAGCTCAACGCTAGTGCTCTACCACGTGTGCCATAGCTCCACTTCTAGGTTTTTCTACTTATGTGGTACTGAGGAATCGAACCCAGGGCCTTATGCATGCGAGGCAAGCGCTCTACCCAGTACCTGGCACAGGAACATACTGAAGGGGGGAGGAGCTTGGCTGTGGGCTCTCGGTGCCTAGCCTGCCTGAGAGCATCACCTCCTCTTTCGGTGGTTGTTGAGGCTATATATACTTGAGAGGTTTTCAGGCATGGCAGGAGCTGTGGCTCGGGCTGGTAGGTGCTGAAGCACCTTTTCCCTGTCTAGTTCCCACCTGTGGCCTGCCTAGCCTTCACGTCCTTGTCACTGAGCAGACGTTTCAATTGCAGGACCTGTTCCAGCAGTCTGCTAAAACATGGTGGATTACTATGAAGTTCTAGGGGTGCAGAGGCACGCCTCGGCCGAGGATATCAAAAAGGCGTGAGTATCTCATTCCTGGATGTATCTGCCCACTGTCCATAGGTAATTGGGTGATGGAATATTTGCTAGCTATTAAAATGGCTTTTCCCCCTCTGTTTTTTCTTTGGCAGTCGTAGGAGTCTAAGCCAGACCTCATATGCTAGGCAGCATCTCTACCGCTGAGATACACCCTTAGCCCTAAAATGATGTTTTCTCCTTTTCTCCTATTGTGTCAGTTCTGGGGCCTGAACTCTCTCTACCTGGATGCTGTCCCTGAGCTTTTATTTATATATTTTTCTGCTAGTTTTGGGGCTTGAGCTCAGGGCCTGGGCACTGTCCCTGAGCTGCTTTTTGCTCAAGGTTAGCGCTCTACCACTTGAGCCATAACACCACTTCTGGCTTTTTGTATTTATGTGATACTGAGGAATTGAACCCAGGGCCTCATGCATGTTAGGCAAGCGCTCTACCACTAAGATACATTCCCAGCTCTCCCTGAGCTCTTTTTTGTTCAAGGCTAGCGTTCTACCACTTGGGCCACACCTTTACTTTCAGCTTTACTTTTTTTTGGGGGGGCGTCGGGTCGTGGGGCCTGAACTCTGGGCCTGGGCGCTGTCCCTCAGCTCTTCGGCTCAAGGCTAGCGCTCTACCACTTGAGCCACAGCGCCACTTCCCACTTTTCTTTTTGCTTATGTGGTGCTGAGGAATTGAACCCAGGGCCTCATGCATGCAAGGCAAGCGCTCTACCACTGAGCCACCTTCCCAGCCCTCCTTCCAGCTTTTTGATGGTTAGTTGGAGAGGAGTCTTCCGAACTTTGCTACTACCCAGGTTTTAAACCAGGTTCCTCAGATCTCAGCCTTCTGAGTAGTTGTGTTATAAAGAGCTCGGATATTGCGGTATCACATAGAAATATGTACACCAACTCAAAAGGAACTCAGCAAGGCAAACATGGTGCCACAGCACCACTTCTACTTTTCCTGGCGGTTTATTAGAGATGAGTCTCACGGTCTTTCCTCTCTGGGCTGGCTTTTTGTGATGCTAGTCCTGGAGCTTGAACTGTGAGCTTGGGTGCTTTCCTTGTTTCTTTTCGTTCAAAGCTAGCAAACTTGTACTCTACCACTTGAGCCATAGTTCCACTTCAGTTTTTTTTGTTGTTGTTGTTGTTTATTTATTTATTAGTAGTTTATTGGGAATAAGGGTCTCACTGACTTTCCTGCCTGGACTGGCTTCACGCCGTGATCATTAGACCTTAGCCTCCTGAGTAACTGGTATTACAGGTCCACCTGCCGTGCCTCCCTTTCTCCCTGTCTCTCCCTCCTTACTTCCTCCTCTCCTTTCACTCTCCCCTCCCTGCTTTCCTTTTCTGTGTGCAGGTATTGGGGTTTAACTCAGGGCCTGGGCACTGAATCTTAAGTTGCTTAAGGCCCAAGCCACAGCTATACTTCTGCAACTGTTATTTTGTGTGTGTTAGTATTAAAAGCCTCGTTGATTTCTAGACTGTGAACATGATGAGTATTGCTCATTTTTTTCAAGATACCGGAAACTGGCATTAAAGTGGCATCCAGATAAAAACCCTGAGAATAAAGAAGAAGCAGAGAGAAAATTCAAACAGGTAGCTGAGGCGTACGAGGTGTTGTCAGATGGTAAGTGGTACTGAGCCTCTTGAGTCTCAGGTGGGCTGCGTGGTAAACTGGAACTGGGTGGGCAGTGCTGATGAGCTGAGGGAGGGCTGTTGGGTTCACCGTGTGGTGGCCGCCTGGTGGGTGCTGCTCTTGCTGGAAGGGGGCCCCGTCACTCTGACCTGTCCTGGCTCAATGGAACAGGTCCATTCACAGGTAAGATCAGGACATCACACATCTGTATGTTTCCCCCACCCATCCCAGGGCTACATACAGAGCAGGAATTGTATGTCATTGAAAGTCAGGCCCATTGGCTTGACTTTGGAAGTAGGTAAAGGTTTGTTGGCTAGGAACAGCCAGGGGTTTCATAATGAAGACCAGACCTTGTATGGGCTGAGGTGGGGTCAGTGCCAGAGCCTGGAAAAATACCCCTGATAGTTGGGTGGCCTCGCGTGAGTCACGGCAGAGGCATTTAAAGGACTGAGTAGTGATTCACTGACCACAGGAAGCAAGAACATGATTCCAGGTACATCTCCATGTGGTCAAGTAGGAAATGAGTAGCTCACTACTTTTTTTTTTTTTTTTTTTTGGGTCCGGTCATGGGGCCTGAACTCTGGGCCTGGGCGCTGCCCCCAAGTCCTCAACCCAAAGCTAGCGCTCTACCACTTGAGCCACAGTGCCACTTCCAGCTTTTTTTTCCTGCTTATGTGGTGCTGAGGAATTGAACCCAGGGCCTCAGGCATGCAAGGCAAGCGCTCTACCACTGAGCCACCTTCCCTGCCCTAGGTCACTATTTTTATAAGGCTTTTCAGAAGGACCCCAGTGTAAAACGCATCATCACCATTACTAGCACACGACCCTTTGCATTATTGAACATTCCCCCAATCTCAGAGGCTTCCTTGCTTACCAGCAACTTGTAAACTTACAAAAACAAAAATTTTGTTCCTGAAAGCTGTGTGTGTGTGTGCGTGCGTGCGTGCGTGCGCGCACGCGTGCTTTTCGGTGAGCCTCAGATCTAAACTTCCTGAGTAGTTAAATGGGTGAGCCACAGTTACTCTGCAGTTACTGTTTTTTTTTTTGTTTTTGTGGGCGCTGTCCCTCAGCTCTTCAGCTTAAGGCTAGTGCTCTGCCACTTGAGCCACAGCACCATTTCCAGTTTTCTGTTGATTAATTAGACTTTGTTGCCCAGGCTGGCTTTCAACCTTGATCCTCAGATCTCGGCCTCCTGAGTAGCTGGGATGACAGGTGTGGCCACCAGCGCCTGCTACAGTTATGGCTGTGTCTGAAGATTTCTGTGGGCTAGCCATCATGTTGCCAGCGCACAGGTCCTGCAGAGCCCTGCTGTGGCTGTGGGGGTCCTTGTCTGGGAGGAGGAGGCGGGGCCAGTGGTGGACGGCAGCATAGCACCCCTGCCTCACAGCGCCCCTGCCTCAGCGTGGTGGGCCTGAACGCGGGCCTGAACGCGGGCCTGAACGCGGAGGCTGCTTCCTGGTGTTTGTCCATGCGCTTTTGCCTTGCCCAGGCAGCATGGCCGTCCTTGTCTTTCATCTTCACTGCTGTGATGGCGATAGCTTCGCACTTGAGCATGTGAGTTCAGTGTGTGCGTAGGATCTGGCCCTGTAGTGAGCTCAGTCGTCTAATGGAGTAAGTAAGTGCTAAAAATTCATGGTACTTAAGTTAATCTAAAGTGTCTTTCTGGAGAGAGGTATTTATACCTGCCCCTTTTTCTGTCTAAGAGGAGCCTAACTTCTTAAAACTTGAAAAGCTGACATCTGGTTTACAGTGTCTGAAATACTGATTAACTTTAAAGAATTTGAAAGGAACTGACTCCTAATGATTTTTTTCCCTTCTCAAATTTGAAGCTAAAAAACGGGACATCTATGACAAATATGGCAAAGAAGGATTAAATGGTGGAGGAGGAGGTATGTAAATGAGTTGAGTGTTCTCTTTGGGGACAAAAGGTTTAGTCATCTAATGGTATGTTACTGAGTCTTTGGAAGATGGTAAATACTGATATAGTCTATAAAAAGTAGGCTGAATTGGGTAGGAATAAGATATTGGCAACACACAAATGTTTAAACATGTTTAATGCTGGCACTCAGGAGGTAGAAGCAGAATTTCAAGGCCAGGCTTCCCTATGTATAAAGCCACTGTCTTAAACAAAAAAATAATGCAAATGTAAAAAAAAAAGCACAAACACTTTTAGAGTAGAAAGTATATGTAAATATACTTCTGTAGGCGCAGACTGTAGTGCACTGGCTTGCTGTGTGAACAGTCCACCTGTTAGATCGCAGGCTCCCCGTAGTATGAAGCTCCCATGATTCTCGGGTATGATGCTGCCCCGTGATGCTTGATGGAAGGAAGTGTCATCACAGGTGCTCAGAGTTCTGTTACCACCCTGTGTGGTCAAGTTTGTGCCTGAAAGGTGGTCTGAGCAAACAGTCGAGTTTTCATGAGCCTTCACAACAAGCAACAAAATTGACATAACACATGGTGATGGATGCTGGGAGAGGTCTGCTGGGTGTTGAGTGACTGCACAGTGTGAGCAGTGCTGCGTGGGCAGTGCTGCGTGGTTAGCTCTGGGCACAATTTCAAGCAGTCTAGGGCCCAGTTTGCATTCCAGGAAATTGCTGGAGGATGAGATAATTCTCTTTAGATCACTATGTGTATATAATGTTCTGTAAACAAGTAACATGTCTAAAAACATTAGAATTTAGCCACTAAAAGCTGTGCTTGTTTACGTAGGTGGAAGTCATTTTGACAGTCCATTTGAGTTCGGCTTCACATTCCGGAACCCAGATGATGTCTTCAGGGAATTTTTTGGTGGAAGGGACCCATTTTCATTCGACTTTTTTGGTAAGTTAAGTTGCCTGGCAGCCATCTACTTGGTATATGGTGTTTCTGTGGTTTGGTGAGGGCTACTGGTGCCCTTTCTATTTAACATGTGTCTTGGTACTAACTTTTGTGTTTTAACAGCAGTGAAATGACCAACCTTTTATGCTCGCCCTTTTAAAGTATTTGAATTTATTACTCAAATATTAGAACCTTCAGATAAATGAATGCATTGTCTCTATCATATATGGTGCTAATTAACTTGATTTTCCTCTTAGACAGCCATGGTGAAGACAGGACAGAACACTGGTGAGGGGTCTAGGAAGTGTTTTTTCTTGTGTTTTGATTTATGTGTGAACCCATGGACCTTCCTCTGAGGTATGCTTTCACTCCACTCCCTTTAGAGTTTGACACTGTTACTATAAAGGTGATGCACTAAATGCACTCTTGCTCCCCAGTTTATGAATTGGCTTTGGAGTCTTACTAAAACCAAGCACCCTAGAATCTGTTCAGAAGACATTTCATCTATGCAACTTTCCTTTCCTTACTGTGTTACAGTGATTGGCTTCAAGTTTGTGAGGAGAGGATTCTTTTTGGGCAAGGCAGAAGTAGTCAGTAATTAAGAAGACATTTTCATCTCTTTCCTCTCAGCCCTGGTGTCTGAAACTGTGCTCTTGGGTGTCCTGGCTCTGGCTGGCCATCTACTCGTAGGGTTTTCTTCTTATTGCTGGCACTCTTTGTTTGATGTGCCCAAGGTGCCTGGAAGTCAGTGGTAAACAGGTTGTTTGCTACTACTGGTTTTGTCTTGTATATCGAGGGGGAAAGCATGGCCTGTGTTTGTCTCCTTGTTGCTGGAGCCTGGTTGAAGAGGCTTGGCCGCTTCTTCATTTCCCAGGAGGGAGCGAGAAGAGAAAGGGGAGTAGAAGGGTCTCACAGGGAGGGGCATTTGAGCTGCCTCTCAGGAGCGTGTAGAGAGCTTTGCTCTGGCTCTAGCAGGTCTTCAGTCCTGTACATGGTGTATTCTTTCATCTGACCTCAAAATGTGTGCATTCTGAGATTTTTTTTCTAAGTCTTAGAGTATAGCATGGTTGTGAGCAGCCTTGTTGAGGGAGGGAAGGACGTGTAAAAAGCTGAAAAGCAGGAGAGGACAGCTGCAGGTGGGCATCCGTGCTGTTAGCGTGGGCACAGCATGTGAGGCAAGGCCAGGGCTCCCCGGGTGAGGACAGGATGCTTATAACGTACACCAACAGAACCATGTTTATACAGGGAAAATGAACAATTAAAAAATGGTTTTGTTTGGTCCTGGGTTATTGTCCCTTAACATTTTGGCACAAGCTGGCACTCTACTTCTTGAGCCACACTTGTGCTTCTAGCTCTCTGGTGGTTAATTGGAGATGGAACTCTCATGGGCTTTATTGCCCAGGCTGGCTTTGAATGGTGATCCTCAGATCTCAAGTGGCCTGAGTAGCTAGGCTTAGGCACAAGTCACTGGTACCTGGCCAAAACGAACACTTTTCATGTTTTCTGTCTTCACAATATTTTATTATTTTTTTGTCAGTCGTGGGGCCTGAACTCTGGGCCTGGGTGCTGTCCCTCAGCTCTTCAGCTCAAGGCTAGCGCTCTACCACTTGAGTCACAGCGCCACTTCTGGCTTTTTGTGGTGTTGAGGAACGGAACCCAGGGCCTCATGCACGCGAGGCGAGCCCTCTACCACGGAGCCCCCTTCCCAGCCCCACAGCTTTAGTAAGCCCACATTGGTTGTTTGGAGGCAGGGCTTCATTGGGTTTTACATCCAGTTTTTTGATGCGATGAGTTCCTTGGCGGCCAAATTGGGAAAAAGCTGCTTCTCTGGCTTCTTCGCTTCAGTTCTGGCATACATACGATAAAGTGTGCTGCTCCCTGCAGCTGCAGAGCCCAGGCATCTTAAACCTTATCCTACACTATTCAAAAGAAAGTCCGACATAGAGGTTTGGTAAAGCATGAGCGACAGACGTCAGTGTCCTGGTGCCCACCCCCACCCGACCCCTGAAAGGAAGGAAGATGTCAGTGTGGTGGTGTGCCTATCATTGAACTCTAGCACTTTGGGACAGGAGGATGGAGGAGGGCTTGTGGCCAATCTAGACTAGATAATTAGTAACCTGCCTCAACTGCCCTTTCTCTTCCCAAGGGGTGCAAGGCTGGGAATGGTAGAACTCTGGTCCTACCTCTGCCCCTATCCCCCAGACCTAAGTGGGAAACGAACGGTTCATTTCAGTGATGTATTATGTAGACAATGTTTGTACAGTTATACCAAAGGCTAGAGTGTACAAAGGACAGGGTAGAGTTGTGAATGAGTAAACTTTACTTCTGCTCCAGAGATCCCAGGCTTACGGAAAGTCCGCTCTGGTGGTGCTTTGTCCTGTTGGCTGCTCAGACAGAAAGCAGATACGCCCAGCCTTCCCGTGATGCGGTGTGGTACTAATACAATCCGTTCTTGTAGGTGTTCTAGGGGACTTCCATTTTCAGGCTGTAAGGATTTACGCACAGGAAAAGAAGCTGCTCCACAGCTACTACCTGTATGAAGTGACCGTGCAGCCTCCCTGTGGTATGTGCAGCACAGGGCGGAGCCCGCGGGCTTAGCTGGGGGCGTGGCTGGTGGTTAGCAGCACAACCTTGGGACCATGTCCATTTCTTAGAGGCAGTTATTTTCACTCTTAATTTTTCAAAAGACTGAACCCCTCCCCCCCAGCAGCCCCCCCACCCCCACTTTGGCTTTCAGAGGAATAGTTCAAGACAGCTGGACCCAGTGTCACATGCACATAATTCCAGGTGCTCAGGAAGCTGAGGCAGGAGGGTTGTGAGCTTGAAGCTTGATTGGCTTCCATCTCAACATGAAAGCAATTGTAAGAGAACTTTGAGCTGTACTTTGCCTTTGTCAAGATCTAGAGCCCCTTCCTGAGGTGAGGGTATGCCTCAGCATGTGCCCTGGGGGCTTGCAGCCGCAGAACCCAGCTCTCCGGGAAGGCAGCAGAGGCTGATTTGGAAGGAGCTCTGAAATAAGAACATAGCTAGTTGGTACATGCAAACACACCCATCAGACTATTATTGGATATGTATTGGGGTGTTATAGTTTGAATTAGGGTGATCTCTTCATCTCAGGATTCTATTACTGGTGCTCTACAGTAGACAAATCCTGATAGTAGTCCTTTTTTGGGGGGGGAGAAGGGTGAGGCTAGTGAGAGGTCTTGAACTTGGGACTCTTAGTGGTTTGGAGTGTGTATGTGTGTCAGTCGTGGGGCTTGAACTCTGGGCCTGGGCGCTGTCCCTGAGCTCTTCAGCTCAAGGCCAGTGCTATTGCCCTTTTAGCCACAGCGTCACTTCCATTTTTCCTGGTGGTTAATTGGAGATAAGAGTCTCATGGACTTCTGCCTTGGCTGGCCTTGAGCCATGATCCTCAAATCCCAGCCTCCTGAGTAGCTAGAATTACAGATGTGAGCCACTGGCACCTGGCTGCTGCCGCTGCCACCTCCTCTTCTTCCTCTTCTTCCTCCTCTTCCTCCTCCTCCTCCTCCTCCTCCTCTTCCTCCTCCTCCTCCTCCTCCTCCTCCTCCTCCTCCTCCTCCTCCTCCTCCTCCTCCTCCTCCTCTTTTTTTTGGTGGGGGGGGGTCCATTCTTGCAGCCTGAACTCTGGACCTGTGTGCTGTCCCTCAGCTCTTCAGCTCAAGGTGAGCACTCTACCACTTGAGCCACAGTGCTACTTTGGCTTTTTTCTTTTTGCTTATGTGGTGCTAAGGAATCAACCCAGGGCCTCAGGCATGCAAGGCAAGTGCTCTACCACTGAGCCACCTTCCCAGCCCCTCCTCTTTTTTTTAAATCTCTCTATAAAACTAATGCTGTGCTACTTGAGCGAAACCTCCACTTGTAATTTTTTGCTAATTAATTGGAGATGAATCTTAGATTTGTCTGCCCGGGCTGCCTTTGAACCTTGACCAGTAGCCTTCTGAATAGCTAAGATTATAAGTGTAAGCCACCTGCCCCCAGATAATAGTCCTGATCCCTTTAGAGTCAGGGTCAGAATTATTTAGAGCTGCCTGGGTATAAAACACTTTGTGCACCAGTCTCCCCCCCCCCCCCCCCCCCCCCCCCCCCCGCCTTCGGGCAGTCCTGAACTCTGGGCCTGGGCACTGTCCCTGAGCTCCTTTTGCCCAAGGCTAGCATTCCAGCCACAGCTTCATTTCTGTTTTTTTGGGGACAGTTAGCTGGAGATAAGTCTCAGGAGCTTTCCCTCCTGGCTGACTTTGAACCGTGATCCTCATAGTTCAGTCCCTAGTTAGCTAGGATTATAGTCTGAGCCACTGGTGCCTGGCTCCCACCACCAATTTTCATTTGCATTTTGGAAAGCCAAAACTAAACTTGCACTGTTTGCAAGGAGCCATTTCATCCTAACACTTCAGAGTGTTTTCCTTCTGGAAGTGTCAGTCTGAGGCGCGGCCCAGCAGTGGATAGAGCCTGGGACCCGGGTTGGGAGGAGGAGTGCTGCGTGGAGGGAGATGTGTCGTCGTGAGCCAGTCGTTTTGCTCCCCAGGGCTCGAGGAAGTCGCCAGTGAGGAGCTGGAGCCTAGTGAAGACCTAGACCTGCCCGGGTTTGAGGGGTCGGGAGAAGGCACCCCAGGCGAAGAGCGCAGTGAGGTTCTGGATGTGATACCCAGTGAGGAGCTGGATCTCTGTAGTGAAGACCTAGACCTGCCCGGGTTTGAGGGGACAGAAGACGCCCCAAGCGAGGAGAGCAGTGAGGTTCTGGATGTGATATCCAGTGAGGAGTTGGATCTCTGTAGTGAAGAGGAGCCGAGCGAAGGCTATAGCTGGGTCCAGGGCGAATTTCCCAGTGAGGACTTGGACCTCATATCCAGCGAGGAGGAAGCCAGTCCCCGGGACCTGGAGGAGGAGCAGCTGAGCGAGGAGGAGTGTGAGGAGCTGCTGAGCGAGGAGGAGCACAGTGGGGCTGAGCCGGAGCTGCTGCTTGTTCACCAATGAACGGAAAGGAG